GGGGCTGCCAGGGCCAGCACGAGCCTCAGGACAAAAAAGCCTTGTGCGACCCAGAACCTCGGCGGGAGGGGAGTTTTACTGCTCGGGCACAGCGGGATCCACGTCTGAAGAAAACAGGGTGACTTTATTCACATCTTCTGTATCGTCCCTTCTCCTCCTCCCACAGCCCCCAGCGTGACGGAGGGGCGGCGAGGTGTATGTGCGCGTAGCCACGCACACACGTTTTGGGTCTGTTTCTCTAGGGAACAGACAGCATGGAAAGTTTATCTCCGGGAGTCTGGGGAGGAAGGAAGTTGTGTATGGATGAATGGCTTTTCCATGACAAACAATGAGTCTGCACAGGCACGGTGTGATGTCACCTGAAGAATTTCCAAGCCAGCTGCAGATACAGAAAACCTTCTCACTGGCACAGAAGGCGGCGTCCCACCTTTCCATCTCGCCACAGCCAGGGGGGGGGGGGGGGAAAGCCCTCGCTGTCTCGCAGACGCACAAGGCATGCGCCGTGTAAACAGATGACACGAGGGGAGAGGTATATCTCCAAGCTTCGCCCTCACCACGTCTCCTCGCGGATTCTGAGAAAGCAGTAAACCGTGGCGAGCCACCCCGCTGCCTCTCCCAGCCAGGAATGTGAGACAGCACCAGCCGATGAGGCACCTTCACAAACACGGGTGATGTCAACGTCGGTGTTCGTGTGAGCCTCTCTGGGCGTGCCTGCGCAGCCGCAGCATGCCTCGGGGCAACAAGGACGTAGCACCACGCAGCGCTGCAGCGGTGGTCCACCTCCGGCACCGCGGCGTGGCGGAAACTACAGCCTCTCCAGCTGGTAAAGCCTGGGAGATGCTCACGTGCTGGTAAAGTCTGGGAGACGCTCACGTGAAACTTGGTCCAGAAACACACAGCATTAATTAAATAGCTCATTTTAAGTATTAGTATGCGAAGGCAGATGATGATTAACAACAGCAAAGTGTTGGGAATACTGCTAGTAGCAACCCGATCGCCAACAAGCACCAGCGAGGCAATGACCTTGGTTTGAAACACGGGACACAAAAATTGCCATATGGGATAAGGTCACTTATCCAGCCATCCTAATGCCCTGTCAAAGGCGGCAAAAAGGAGATGCTTCAGCGGGAAAAGTCTGGAACTCTGAATTCAACCGAAATTCTGCTGCTAGCGAGAGCAACCGCCGTGGAGTTACGACGTGAATTATGCAAGTGAGTCCTTCTTAAGGTCCTGGAAATAATTTCTTCACTGTCTGTGTTTATGACTTCAGATAAAGTGGTAATCGCAGGTGAGGCGTTGTTGGCGGGATTTAGCCTCAGCTAGCAACTTCCTGACCGAAAGCTGCAAAGTACTTGGCCAGTGGTCCAAAGAATACTCGCTATCCTGCTTCCTTTTGCGCCTGTTTCTACTTGCCACCAAAATCTTGAAAGCGAGCTCTTGATTTTGTAAATAAAAAGCTTGGGTCACTTTTTAAGCCCAGACAGCTCTGGCAGGGTGGATTGCCGAAGAAGGGCTGGGTTGGAGAGGTCAGTGAAATTTTGTGAGGACGAGAGGTGGGGTGAAGTGGGGCTGCTGGAGGGCTGGGATGAATGGAGCCGGAGAGGTGCCAGGTAAGAGAGGGGGGTAAGGAGGTGCCAGCAGGTAATCCCAAATGACCAGCTGGGGTGCTGGGAGGGCCATCGGGATTTGGATGGCGTGGGGGAAGGAGCCTAGCAATGAGCAGGACTTTGGGCTGGCTCCATACGAGTGACATGAAGGGATTACTGCGCTAACGGGTATAAGGGAGGCCCGGGAGAAAGCCGGTCTCAGCCACTCTTCCGTTCCCTGGTAACCCCTGTCTCAAACCCAAGAGAGCCCAACCTCACCCCAGGCAGCCCACCCCTCCTGGCTGTCACTCTTGGCCGCTCCCCACCACCCCAGTGACTCCCACCTTCATCCCAAACCATCCCTCCCCTCAGACAGCACCAGCCGATGAGGCACCTTCACAAACACGGGTGATGTCAACGTCGGTGTTCGTGTGAGCCTCTCTGGGCGTGCCTGCGCAGCCGCAGCATGCCTCGGGGCAACAAGGACGTAGCACCACGCAGCGCTGCAGCGGTGGTCCACCTCCGGCACCGCGGCGTGGCGGAAACTACAGCCTCTCCAGCTGGTAAAGCCTGGGAGATGCTCACGTGCTGGTAAAGTCTGGGAGACGCTCACGTGAAACTTGGTCCAGAAACACACAGCATTAATTAAATAGCTCATTTTAAGTATTAGTATGCGAAGGCAGATGATGATTAACAACAGCAAAGTGTTGGGAATACTGCTAGTAGCAACCCGATCGCCAACAAGCACCAGCGAGGCAATGACCTTGGTTTGAAACACGGGACACAAAAATTGCCATATGGGATAAGGTCACTTATCCAGCCATCCTAATGCCCTGTCAAAGGCGGCAAAAAGGAGATGCTTCAGCGGGAAAAGTCTGGAACTCTGAATTCAACCGAAATTCTGCTGCTAGCGAGAGCAACCGCCGTGGAGTTACGACGTGAATTATGCAAGTGAGTCCTTCTTAAGGTCCTGGAAATAATTTCTTCACTGTCTG